TTTTTTTTTTTTTAATTTGGACTTTCAGTCTGATACATTTAAGGAGCTCCAGGTTGTGGAAACCTTCAATAAAATTGATAGTATGAAGCCATTCTCTAACTAGGTGGGATGTAAAGAGACAGTTTGGCTGGATTAGAGCCAGTTATTTTGTTTTGCTACATGGTGTTAGATAGCAATAGCTATAGCACTTAGTCCAGTGGTAGTCAACCTGGTCCCTACCGCCCACTAGTGGGTGTTCCAGCTTTCATGGTGGGCGGTGGGGGTTTTGTCCCCCACTTTATAAATCACCAATACCGTGGAGCCGAGGGGCGGTTAGAGAAAACTTCACTACTAACAGAGATACAAAAGTGGGCGATAGGTATAAAAAGGTGGACTACCCCTGACTTAGACTTATATACCACTTTTCAGTGCTTTACAGCCAGTCGTGGGATTCAAAGTTTTTTTACTACCGGTTGGGCATGGCTAGGTGGGCATGGCGTGGCTTGGTGGGAGTGGCTTGGGTGTGGTGTGGCTTGGTAGGCGTGGCAGGGGAAGGATACTGCCAAATCCCCATTCCCTCCCCACCCCACTAACCTGCTTTCCAGCTCCGTTCTCCTGTGCAGAGCAGCAAAAGAAGACCCAGCCAATCAGCTGGGACTCGGGAGGCGGAGACTAGATGGGGGCGGGGCCAGTCAGAGGCGGTATTTGCCGGTTCTCCAAACTACTCAAAATTTCCGCTACCGGTTCTCCAGAATACCACCACTGCTGAATACCACCTCTGCTTACGGCCCTCTCTAACCGGTTTACAGAGTCAACCCATTGCCCCCAACAATCTGGGGGCTGAGTCACCCTTGAGCCTGGTGAGATTTGAACTGCCAAATTGCAGACAGTCGGCAGAAGGAGCCTGCAGCCGCTGTGGCTCATCCCCAAGAGGAAGTGTTGAGCGAGGGCAAAAAATGTGTTCTGTCCCGTGTGTGTTCTGCACCCTCTGTGTTGTAGGAACCTTACGGCCTCTTTTTGTTCTTTTCCCCTTTTTTGTCCAGCATGCAAGAGTCCATCTTGGCTCAGGTGCAGCGAGTCATCAAGGGGGAGGTGAGCACGGCCATGAAGGAGCAGCAGGCTGCGGTCACCTCCAGCATCATGCAGGCCATGCGCTCCGCTGCAGGCACGCCCATCCCTGCCACTCACCTAGACTTCCAGTCCCAGCAGGCTCACATGCTGCAACTTTTGCAGCAGGGACACCTGAACCAAGCCTTCCAACAGGTATGCCACCTTCTGAAAGCCAGGTAAACTCTCCAGCTACCCACAGAAACGTCTTCCTACCGAGCCTTCCGGGCACCAGTTGCAGGGCTTAAGATAGAAAAACCCACTGAGGATTTGTTTTTTCAAAACTAAGATACTGAGCTGCATCTCCTGGTGTCCTTTTAGGTGTCTCTCTCAAAAGCAGGAATATGGAACTTCTGGGCTGCTGAACTACAGCTCCCAGCATCCCTCACTGTTGTAGTTAGGAGTGGTTGCTTAGCAACATCTGGAAGATTATATGTTGCCTGTTCCAGCTTTAAGTTTGCAGATGTTTGCATGCTGTTGAGCTTGTGTGTGTGCACACGTACACACACATTATATAAGGTAAAGGTAAAAATTCCCATTGCACAATTGTGCTAGTTATTTCTGGCTCTAGGGGGCGGTGCTCATCTCTGTTTCAAAGCCAAAGAGCCAGCGCTGTCCGAAGACGTCTCCGTGGTCATGTGGCTGCCATGACTAAACGCCGAAAGTGCACGAAACGCTGTTACCTTCCCACCAAAATGGTCCCTATTTTTCTGCTTGCATTTTTACATGCCTTCGAACTGCTAGGTTGACTGAAGCTGGGACAAGTAATGGGAACTCACTACATTATGCAGCACTAGGGATTCAAACTGTCGACCTTTCTGATCGACAAGCTCAGCATCTTAGCCACTGAGCCACCGCCTCCCTTCTACACGTTATATACATATACAGAATAATGTGTAATTCATTGTATAAGCCTGGGCATACTGGTATCAGATGTATCCATGTGCCATCCTTTCTCCAACCCTGCCCTCCCAACAGCCAAAAGGAGGACCTACTACTTTGAGGTGACAGACTCCTTTTGCATTTGGGATCAATAGCAATAACACTTAGAGTTATATACCGCTTTTACAGCTCTCTCTGAGTGGTTTTACAGAGTCAGCCTCTTGCCCCCAACAATCTAGGTCCTCATTTTACCCACCTCGGAAGGATGGAAGGCTGAGTCAACCTTGAGCCTGGTGAGATTCAAACTGCCAAATTGCAGGCAGCCGGCAGTCAGCAGAAGTAGCCTGCAGTACTGCACTCTAACCACTGCGCCACTGTGGCTCAATCAGAACAGTTTAATAACTCTTTAGCATTCTTTTGCCTCCTCACGGTTGGAACATCTGTGCAACGTCTGGGTGTTTTAAGAATTCCATAGTGGTCATGGGATAGGAATGCCATCAGCGCTTGAGAGCCAAAATGTGCTTCAAATCATGGAGCATGGGTGGATTGCAATTCTGGGAAATGATCACCCCAGTGCTTTTTCCTGTTTTATATCGGAATGTCCCAGCATTCCTCTGGATTTCCTGTATGCCTCTTTTCACCCTTGCAGGCTCTCACTGCAGCCGATTTGAATCTGGTCCTCTATGTCTGTGAGACCGTTGATCCTCAGCAAGTGTTCGGACAGGACCCTTGTCCTCTGTCCCAGCCTGTCCTTCTGTCTCTCATTCAGCAGCTGTCTTCAGAATTAGGCTCCCAGACAGAGCTCAAACTCAAGTGAGTAAAATTTAGTGGTATGTCCAAGAAGGTAAACCCTGTCTCGCTCTCAAAAGGATACTGTAGATCATGCCAACCTTTTGGACTTCAGGGACCACCAAACTCATAATTTTAAAGCCCACGGACCACTAATATGAATTTTGACTGAGGGTGGCTTGCTGATGTTTTCCCAGGGTCTCTGCAGAAAGCAGCAGAGACCCTGGGAAAATCCCCAGAAAAGTCTGCAGGAAAATTCCCCACCCCATTTTCCTACTGATCGATCATTCTTTATTTGGGATCGCAGGATACCATCTCCAGCTCCATTCTCAAGGGAGGGGGAGAGAGAGAGAGAGACTTTTGGCTTCGTGCAAGGAAAGCAGCAGAAGCAGCAGAAGTTTTTCTTTCTCTCCCCCAAACTCCGCCAGAGATGAGTCTTTGTGAGACTTGTCATGCCAATGCAACCTCTTGGAGCAGGATGCCTTTCAGGGTCCCAAAGACTCATTTCTGGCAGAGTTTGGGGGAGAGAAAGAAAGACTTTTGCTGCTTTCCTTGCGTGCTGCCAAAAGCAGCAGAAGAAAGAAGCAGCCCAGTGGCCAGGCCAGGCACGTGGGGTGAGTGGGGCAGGTCCCCCCACCTTTGCCCTTTCCCCCCTCCCCTCACTACCTCGTGTTGTTCCCAATGCGAGTGATGCAAGCCTTGTGTTCCCGCGGGCCACGTGGGCAGCGCAGCCTTGTGTTCCCGCACAGCCTGAATTAATTGCTTTGCGGGTGACATTTCTCTATGGACCACCAAAATTTTCTCGCTGACCACCAGTGGTCCCCGACCCACTGGTTGGCGACCACTGCCATAGATAATCCCTCTGGCAAGACAGTGCTTTTAAAAATAAAAATAAAAAGATTTTGGATTGGAGAAAGGCCAACCATATGTGCACAATATTATTTTGAATGTAACTTTGGTTTTGCTGGGCGGGAAGGGTGGGTGGGAGCCACCGGTTTCCAACTGCCTCTCTGGCTTTTGAGCTGAAAATCCAGTGGCCAGACACAAACCCATATTGGCATCCACAGATACTCTTCAACTTAACCACCATTGTGATAGGAAATCCGATCTTCGGTCATTGTGATTGTAAGTTGAGGCAGACAACGTGACCGTTTTTCTGTCGTTTATTGCACCGGCTGTTAAGTGAATCATGCAGTCGTTAAGCAAGTGACACCGTCATTAAGCAAACCCATTCTTCCAAATTTAAAGGTTGATGTCGAACCCCAAACCAAAATAATAATGTAATACTTCCAAGCTCAGTTGTCTATTGTTTTCACATCTCTAAGGCAAAATCTGGCACTCTGCTATTCACATGAACCATGTCCTCCCAAGGACTATAGATAGTCCTCGACTTACGACCACAATTGAGCCCAAAATTGACATTGCTAAGTGAGAAATGCGTTAAGTGAGTTTTGCCCCATTTTGCCACTTTTCTTCCCGCAATTCATTAAGGGAATCATGGTAGTTGCTCAACTGGTAACATGGTTGTTAAGTGAAACTAGTTTCTCCATTGACTTTGCTTGTCAGAAGGTCATAAAAGGGGTCACATGATTTCTGAACCCAGCAACCGTCATAAATATGAGTCAGTTGTCAAGCATCCAAATGTAATGGGGATGCTACAATGGTTGTTCTGACCAAGGCTTGTTGAGACACTAACAAACACACCTTAGTCCCAAAACCCTTTTTTTCTTATCAATGGCTATGAATTTTAGTCATTCACAGCCCGTAATGAGTCTCCAACAGTTTGTAAATAGTCCCATGGAAGTCTGCCAAAGTCCTTCAGGATAAGTCTGATAATCACGCACCTTTATCTTCCTTGAAATTCTGCCAACGACTAAATGTCCGATTAGTTATACAAGACCAAAACGGAACACAAATTCAACACCGAGCTTCAGGTTTCAAACCGGTACGAACAAAGTTGCTTCCTGCAAAGATTCCTGTCCCTTTGTTCCTCCTTTATGTCTTATGGGAGATGCCAATCACCTCCAAGGCTGAGTCGTCCCTTTTGTCTTAACTGTTCTTGCCTTCTGGCAGCTCTGCGCGTGCGCACACTGGAACAGGCTCCCCTTGTTCCTCTGCCTCGCTGCTGTCAGATTCTGGAGGCTCCGGAATCAGCACCTCACTCCCATATGGCCCTGGCCCCATCTCTGTATTGGATGCAGGACCCTCGTCCGAATCTTCCCCAGATTGCCAGACTGGCCCATGTTCCTCCTCACTGTCCAACTTTGCTGCCAGCTCCGTAGGCTGCCGATAGGCCCACAACAAGTATGAAAAATGGGTCATAAGTCCCTGTTTTCAGTGCCATTGTAACATTGAACACTAAACAAACCGTTGTGTAAGTTGAGGACTGCCTGTATTTGGGAGGGGCTGTCTTCACCCGCTTTCTCTCCCACATAATATCTGGGTTGAGTTGCCTCTTACTCTACAATGCTCCACCCTCCCTCCCTCCTCACCACATTCCATCCCAGGCCTTCCTTGACCATATTGTAGCCGGAAGAAATGACTTGCTTATTCTGAGCTGTTTTCTTTCTCTCTCCCCCCCCCCCCCCCGCAGCTACCTGGAGGAGGCAGTGATGCACCTCGATCACAGCGATCCCATCACCCGCGACCACATGGGCTCGGTGATGAACCAGGTGCGCCAGAAACTCTTCCAGTTCCTGCAGGTGGAGCCTCACAACAACGTGAGCAAGCCCGCACGTCGCCTGATGATCATGCTGCAAGGCCTGGTCACCCACAACATGTCCTAACAGGTCTCCGGCCACCCTTGCTCAACGGCGCCTCTCCGGGCTAACCCAAGGGCGGCGGCTTTTTACTTTTCTCCATTTGGCCCTCCTCTTCCTCCTCCTCCTCCAAGAGCTCTTTGCTGACTCAACGTGGCCACGCCAAGCGGGGAGTGGGATGAACCCTAGCCCAGCCAGTCAGTTCCCCCTGCACTTCAAAAACAACAGTACCCTTCCTTTCCGTGCAAGTCAACTTTTTGGCACTTGTGCAAGCAGAAACACGCAAATCCCAGCTTTCCTCCGGCTTCGGAGCTCAAGAGCCCCACTTCCCAACCCTTTGAGAGTGGGCCGTGGGGAGGGGTCCCCTGCCCGGCAGGGAAGGATGAGCAGGCCGTAGAATCACGGTAGCCATAGGGAGAGATGCCAACCCCCCCCCCCCCCTGTGGGTGGGGGGGGCGGGGGGGGGGGGGCGTGGGAAGATTGCAAAGGCCCCCTTCCCCATCCGGGGCGCGGGGTGGGAGGGGCACCCCGTGTGGTGGAGCATGTTTACGGATCAGACAGTTCCTTTTTAGTCGGAGGGGAGATTGTGTTCGCACCACATTGTTTTTGTTTTTTTCCCTTTTGTTTTTATCTAGACTCTTTAACTCTTTCTTTTTTGAATAATGTTTAAAGACAAGTTCAATAAATGACTTTTTTTGGAGGAAAATAAATAAATAAAAGCTCTTCCTTCTCACCTTGAGTTGGGTTCCCCCCTGCACTGGTGGACCCCGGGGGGCACTCCTAAAACGCAATGCTTTGCTTTTGATGTATATCTCATCAGTCGAAACAAATCTGGTTTATTCGTTCAGGAAGTCACGGTTAGGAGGAAGCAAAGCACATCCAGCCAGTGGGAAAACTGACCTCTGGGTTTGTCAGTGACCGCGGGTTGAAATTTGCATCACTTGGGAACTGTGATGACTTGGGACGTGGCACAAAAGCAACAAAGTCACAAAAATAGGTAAAGTCCCTTTAATGCCTCCAACTTGACCCCCAATGTCCAGTTATCAACGGCTGGAGAAGAAACTCTCCCAAGAACAGTCTTTAAAGGGAAGAAATTCAGTCCAAACCCAAAGTACATATAAATTATAAATAAAAATCAACACAAACCGTGCTGCAGCAATTAACGAGACAGGGCAGGATAAGGAATTGCAGACTTCAAAAGATAACAAACCACATACAGTTGGGAGGATGCCAGAACCCAGATAAACCTCGACAAACAAATATAATTGACGCTTTGTTTCCGTCAAGGTGCTGTGCATAAACGTCCTTTTTAAATCCTGTTTTCTCAGCTGCAGCCAATGAAGGGGATCAGGGCCTTTTCCTCCCCCGTAAACCATGCAACTCCCGTTGCTCCCTTCTCCGTTCCTCTCTGCGTGCCCTAGGATGAAGAGGGGGTTGGGCCTGGGTCTTTCTCTGAATGTCCAGCTGGACTTTGCCCTTCCCCAGTTGCTTCCACAACGACTGGAGCCATACTCCCACTACCTGTCAGCTGCTCAACCCCCACCTCGAGATCAGATTCCAACAGAAGCATGACAGGAACATGCAACCGGGGGCTCATTGTCACGAGCCCTTTTCAGGGGATCAAGTAAGACCTTGGGACAGATTTCTGGTCCTGCTTCTGCCAATTCACTGGGCAGGAAGGGAGAAATAAGGATGGTAAGAGAAGGAGTGGCTTTGTCCCTTCCAGATAGCCCCCATTCTTTGCTTTGGCTCCTCTTTCTTTCTTTCTTTCTTTCTTTCTTTATTTATTTATTTATTTATTTATTTATTTATTTATTTATTTATTTATTTCTTCTTTCTTTCTTTCCTTCCTTCCTTCCTTCCTTCCTTCCTTCCTTCTTTTTCTTTTTCCTTCCTTCCTTCCTTACTCCATTCAGCCATACACCCATACATCCATCATTCAATTCATTGGCCACCCCATCTTAGAGCAGGATAACTCTGGTCAGCTTACAATATTAAAAAGATAAAACTCTATAATTTACAGACTACCAAAATATAAAAATGCAATAGTTAAAACAATTTGTCAGGTGTCGGCGCCAGCTGCACAAAGGGTTCCTCCTTCTGATGTGGAGTCTGGCTGTTTAATTCCAAGAGGGCCCAACAGGTGACCAAATTCATCCCAACCCCAACTGCTCCTTTGCCCGTCTTCTGAACGGAGTCATCTTACACCCTCCTCAGTCCCTTCCCATTCCTGAGGTGCCCCTCTGTGGGTGCTCCCAAATTCCTCTCAGATTCTGCCCCAAATGGTCCTTTTCAAACCCTTCCTCCCAACGTGGGGGTGACGTTTGTCACCTTGGCAAGCAAGACAACACCTGAAACCTTCTGATCCCCGTTTGTTCCTCACCCAGCAGCCAGAAAGCCATTTAACAGGTGGTTAATCCAGGGGTGGGATTCAAATTTTTTAACAACCAGTTCTGTGGGCGTGGCTTGGGTGGTGGGTGTGGCTTAGTGGTCATGTTATTGGCTGGGCATAGCCAACTCAATATCACTCACATTGAGGCATGCATCTCCTTGCCTGGCCTTATGACGGGATGCTGCAACAGTCGTAAGTGTGAAAAATGGTCATTAATCACTTTTTTCAGTGCCATTGTAACTTTGAACGGTCACTCCACACAAGCAAAGTACCAGCAAAGGAGGGAGAAAAAAACTCCAGAGAAGTTCCTGAGACAGGAAGTCTAGTTCTGCCAAGAACATAATAAGGGTTAACAGGTAATTTTTGTAAGCAACACCAGAATGTTTCCTTCCTGCCTTCCTTACAGGATTAGGCCAGTAATTTCTTCTAACAACCGGTTCTCCGAACTGCTTAGAATGTTAACAACTGGTTCTAGCGAATTGGTGCAAACTGGTAGAATCCCACCCTTAGGGGGAATCTCATCCCAGCATCAGCCATTTTTTTTTTTTTTGCTGGCCCTCAGCAGAAGTTTCCACATCCAATATTCCTGGGCTCTAGGAAGCAGCTGTGACGTGCCATTTTGCGGCTCCTGTTTCTTTTTTGATTGCAGTGGGCTTTGCTTGGAAAAATGCTCCTTTGACTGAGGTGTTCTTCAAATAAACCCTTGGATTACAAACTCAGAGCATTTGCCACAGGCTGAGGGGCAGAGATAACGGGATGGTTGGATCTTATGGATGGAAGCCTCTGGAGCAGAGGTCTCTAACCTTTTGGACCTCAGGGACCACCAAACGCATAATTTTAAAATCCCGGGACCACTAATATGAATTTTGACTGACGGTGGCTTGCTAACGTTAGTGGGAAAGTCGGTCCCGTATTCCAGAGCTGCAGGAGTCACAGGACTGGCCCTTTGGTCATCCTGCAGCAGCTGCTCCTCCACCCGGGTGCACCGGCCTTCTATGGACTGGAGGAGCTGCTCTGGGATGACCAAAGGGCCAGTCCTGTGACTCCTGCAGCTCTGGAATACGGGACCGACTTTCCCACCAATGCCAGCAAGCCACCCTGGGGTGGATTTCCTTCCCCCGCCATCGGTCTTGCCTTCCAGTTCCAGCTCACATAAAAACTACTCAAGGTAAGGTTTGTGCTCGGGTGAAGGGTGGGGGCCAGTGGGTGGGCAGGCCACGTGGGTAGCGCATCCTTGTGTTCCCACGCAGCCTGGATTAATTGCTTTGGGGGGGGGGGACATTTCTCTGAGGACCACCAAAATTTTCTCGTGGACTACCAGTGGTCCCCGGCCCACCAGTTGGCGACTGGAACACCTCTGGAACACCTTTGAGATGGTCTTGATTCCCAATAGCTCGAGGGATTTCGGCAACGGCATGGAAGAGACTCTGCAACTACGCCTGCATTGTGTTTTGATTTTGTAATCTAGTCTATGAAAGCCAGTTTCCCAGAAAAGGCACTGGGAGAGAAGCCAGGAGAGTTAGTTCTACTCCCACCTTAGGCCTTGAAGCCAGCTGAGCAATTTTTTTGGACCAATCTTCTCAACTCCTGGAATAATAATGCAAATCCTACTCCTGAAAATATAGTGATTATTTAGAAAGCAAATTTCTTGCACTGAGATGAAGCATTTCGGTAAAAAGGCTGTGCGTGCACAAAGGATGTTTTAGTTCTTTACTCATCAAATGTATACGGGCAAGTGACTGGGCGGTGTACAAGACTAAAAACCAATATATATATAAAACAATTATGATTATTAAAACTTGTTTTAGAAAACAAAAAGGCTGAGAGAGAAACACCAGATGTTAATAGCAATGGAGCCCACCTCAATATATCATCGATCCCGTGGGGTCAGCAGGCCTAATGGCACAACCAGATTTTAAGGGGCTTCTGTAAAAAAAAGCTAACACAGTTCTAGGCTGCATAAACGGATAGAATCAAGATCACGTGAAGTGTTAATACCACTTTATCATGCTTTGGTAAGGCCACACTTGGAATACTGCATCCAGTTTTGGTCGCCACGATGTAAAAAAGATGTTGAGACTCTAGAAAGAGTGCAGAAAAAAGCAACAAAGATGATTAGGGGGAATGGAGGCTAAATCATATAAAGAACAGTTGCTGGAACTGGGTATGTCTAGTTTGATGAAAAGAAGGACTAGGGGAGACATGGTAGCAGTGTTCCAATATCTCAGGGGCTGCCACAAAGAAGAGGGAGTCAAGCTATTCTCCAAAGCACCTGAGGGCAGGACAAGAAGCAATGGGTGGAAACTAATCAAGGAGAGAAGCAACTTAGAACTAAGAAGAGATAGTTCCTGACAGTTAAAACAATTAATCAGTGGAACAACTTGCCTCCAGAAGTTGTGAATGCTCCAACACTGGAAGTTTTTTTAAAATGGATTGGATACCCATTTGACTGAAGTGGTGTAGGGTTTCCTGCCTAGGCAGGGGGTTGGACTAGAAGACCTCCAAGGTCCCTTCCAACTCTGTTATTCTATTCTAAAATGAATAGTGAAGGAGCCCACTTTTTATATTGCACTAACAACCCATAATCTCGTGGGTTGTTATTTCAGAGAGATTTCCTTACCAGATTCCTCATTTCCTACAACAATGGCAGAGCTTGTAATATACTTGTAAGAGTTCTTAGAAATTCAGGAAGACAGAGATTTTCCAAAGCAGCAAAAGGCAAGATAAGAAACAATGGAAGGAAACTAACCAAGAAGAGAAGCAACCTAGAACTAAGCAGGAAATCCCTAACAGTGAGAGCAATCAACCAATGGAATAGTTTGCCTTCAGAAATTGTGGGCGCTCCATCACTGGAGGCTTTCAAAAAGGGACTAGATAACCATTTGAGACGGCATAGGATCTCCTGCTCGATAAGGGGGTTAGACTAGAAGACCTCCAAGATCCCTTTCAACTCTTATTAGTCTTACGTTCCAGATACATCTGCCTTGAAAATAGCCCATGTGAGCTCATATAACACAATCATCAGAAGTTGACTATGTGTGCGGATGCTGATGGAGGCTCACAGAGAGAAGAAAATCCCGCTCCACACTGCCTTCTTGGACTTGGAAAAGGCCTTCGACCGAGTCCCGCACGATCTCATCTGGTACGCACTACGAGATCACGGCGTGCCCGAGCTACTCGTACAATGGGTCCAACTCCTATACAGATGTCACAAAAGCCGTGTAAAAGCGGCAGCTGGGATATCAGAGGAGTTCAATATCACCGTCGGCGTACACCAGGGCTCTGCTCTCTCACCACTGCTGTTCATTCTGGTGATGGACACAATTACACAC